TTTTTTTTTATTCGTACGCGCGCATCAGTTTTGGGGCTCCCGGAGGATGTCATCCATATAATCAAATCAACATGGCCTTACTGATCATATTGATAATGGCTGGTAGCCAGTGACAATAGGGAGCTGTCGGTAACTACACTACAGTGGATGGCAACCAGACTGAGAGTGAGCAGGCCTGCCTCTGAAACTGGGGAGTTCGGATCCTGCCCAAACCAACTTAAATGTAGTAAGTTATTACATCAAGGTGTATAATGTCCGTGGTTACATCAACGAGTAGGAATCCTTAACCTGATATAAACTGTTCTATGTGTATCTGCAAGCCTTTGAATCACAACTTTTTATAAACTAACCCATAACATCATTAATATCCCCACCAGCAACCTGCTCAAGCCAGCCCAAGGGCGTACCCGAGGGAGCCACCAGTATAAATATCAACCTATACATGCACGAACAGACGCCTACAAATATTCCTTCTTCCCTCGCACAATCCCCTAATGGAACGCCTTGCCTGGCCCGGTAGTTATGGCTCCCACCGTTGAGTCCTTCTGGGCCAGGCTGGAGGCCTGTCCGCCTTAGACCAAGGCCTCCCCCCCTAAAGTGCCCCATCAGGGGCTATATGGGGGTGTAGCCGGGGCTCACATAACATCTTAAAATCAAATCTTGCAGCAGCCATATTTCTTTGATTTAATCTGTGCAGACATGAACACCAATAATATTTCTGAATTTGACCAAAATATCTGTTTACTGGTTTACACTGTAACAATATTATAAACAACTGTTTCATGTGTTGAGCACCAGACAGGTTTGACATTTTAATTGGTACTTCAGCACTACAATTTTTATAAGTTCTGTATAGCTACGTTTTTTTGCAAAAAATTATGGAAATGACAAATTTATATAATTTTTTGGATGGCATAAATGACACCGATTGGTACCCAAGAAAGACAGAAAACGACATACCTTGTGACTTGTTACATCTCAGACAATTGAAAATTACAAATGCTTCAAAAGAATCTAATTTTAGTAGAGGTAAACAGGACAAAACGTTTACGTCCTACCAAAGCTGCCCTCCCACCCTCTAGATTTCATAGTTGGCGCGTTTGGTCTATACCACTTTAATATGGGAGGCATTCTTCATAATAAAACCCACTTTCATGAGTTAGTTAGCGGATATCATTGGTAAAAAAAATATATTCAGAATATAAAATTTAGAGTATATCTTGAGTGTTGATCTTATTTTTATAATTTTGTAACTTATTAGAAATAGATATGTATAACACCCATATTCAAGTGTATTCGTCCATAATGTCCCGTAGGTCTAAAAAGTTGACCAATGGTGCGAGTTTTTGTATCCAAACCAATCAGAGCCACGCAAAGTAAAATTTGCATAACAGTAAGCGAATCAAAGCTCGCTATTTGAAACGAGGCTGTCTTAGCGGCAAAGTTGAGCTTCGTTTTTGGCGGTCGAAATTTTGTTTTTCTCGTCAATGAATTTCTACCGAGTTTTGCGAAATTCCGAGTGATTTCTGACGCCGTTTTCTCACATATCGTGGCCCAAGCAGTAGGGATCAGCATGGGCGATAAGGAACGCAGTGCTCTGCGTCCTCTACACAACACAGCCGACGCGATGGTGAGTGTTGTTGTCTTTTCTTTCCCTCCAAAACTTACAAAATGGCCACCCTTGGTTGTTTGAGTCCGGGCGACCGCAAAAAATACAGTGGCAGCACTGAGCGTTGTATGTGGCACTGTAGTTGATAACGCTTCAGCTGCTCTTGTACCTTTTGTTTACGAGCTTTTAGCATTCTATAGTTTGCGATAGATGTACTATTTTTCATGTATAGTTATAACTCTATACAATCACCTTGACAGCTTCCTTGACAGCTTGGGCCTAGGAAAAAAAAATGTTGTACAAAATATTTCCTTTTTCCAGACCGACCCTAGAAAAAACTGCCGACCCTAACCCTTTTTTTTGTGGATACCTGCAAAAATTATGGACAAATTTTCGAGGTGATTGACCTTTTCTAGCTCCATGATCTGACACCTGAGTGATGAAACATTATAGTTTTCCAATATTTGGCATGATACATGACATGAATTAAAAAAAAATATAAGTGTCCTCACGCAAGCTTTACTTTGGTAAACTATATTGTATAAGTTGGATCATTACTCTTGCAACTCTTGGTCCCTTAACCCAGGTCAGGGTCGTGGGGGCACTGCATGGTGGAGTGTCTGACCATCTGCCGCCATCCCTCTCGGCTGTGAGCTAGGGTTAGGGTTTCCGAGGGATTTTTTCCTGTCCATTCTTGGATGTTGTAGGCCCATTTTTTTCTTCTGCCTTCCCCTTTTTCTTGCTCCTTTTACTGTTCCTTGAAGGATTGTTTTTGACAGTCCATTTGATCTCATTACATGTCCGTACCACTTATAAGTTTCCTTCTCTTCACAACTGTCAGGAGCCTTTCATACCGACAGTGCTGTTTTACACTGTTTATGATTTCTTCGTTTGTGACACGGTCCAGGTATGTTATCCCTAGGATTTTTCTAAGGCACTTCATTTCTACTGACTGTATCCTTCTTTGGAGCTCAGCATTTAGTGTCCATGATTCACAGGAGTACAGAAAGATGGAGAATACAAGGGCCTGTTTGAATCTTATCTTGTGTTTCATGCTGATGTTCCTATCTTTCCAGATTGGTTTCAGTTTATCAAGTGCCTTAAGTGTCATTGCTGCACGTGCCAGAATCTCGGGTTTGGAGCCTTCTTCACATAATATTGCTCCTAAGTACTTAAACTTTTTTACAGTCTCTATTTCTTGTCCTTGGACCGTGATTTTTGTGAAAAAAAAAAAAAAGTTGGATCATTAGAGATTGCCAAAGTCTAATAAAAAAGGGAGAGAAAATCTCTACCTACACTTGGCTACAGACCCTAATTTTTTCACGAGTCTGAAACAGGAATCCGAAACACAACATAATTTTTTTTTACTAGGCCTTGAGCTTGATATCTAGTGTTTCACATAACAAACAAAAACATAATAATGAAGCAGATTAATGTGATTCGTGATTTGTGACTGATAGTGCCCCTACAAACTAAATGTTATTTTTCAACTTTGCAGGGAGACAGAAGTCAGCTTACAAAAAAGATGTTTGCCTGGCATAAAGACCCGAGAGTTGGACGGTAGGCTACATGTCTAGTTTCTCTGTTATTCAACACCTTTATTTCTCCTTTGTTTCCAGATGAATACCTATGTTAAATTGTGAGGTTATCAAGAAATACGTAGTTGATTTTTGTCCTAGGACATTGAGTTATACACATTTTAATGTTTCTGTGATGTAGTGATGCATACCGGTTCACTGGACTTGGATCCGGACTTGTAAGAATGTTTAGGTTCAAGTCCAAAAAAAACTAAAAGTCAAGAACCAAGTCTGGACTTATTACCATAAAAGACCATTTCACATACCCCTTTTCTTTCCAAACCACCTAGTAAAACCTTCCGTAGATTGCAAAATCTTTGCTGCAAAATGAAGAAAACATTGCAATCGGGCATCGTCAAGTACCGGCCTCCATGTTATGTGGCCAAAGTTTCACCCAGACAACATTGCAAGGTTGCCAACATGCAATTTTGTATATGCCGTGGGTTTAGATCCATACTTACAGGTCCGAAACTGAACCTAAACCTCTGGACTTGAATCTGGACCTGAACCTAAAATTGAGTTTAGGTATGCATCACTACTGTGTCTGTGGTGTATATGGTTGAAGAATTCTTATCTTAGAATTTTAATTCTTGGATTGTTGGAAATTGGGTATGTTGGTCACAAAGAAGCATTTACAATTAACTACATGTATAATGCCATTCGGGTCAAGAATGGCACCGCCATGCTATTAAAATTATCGTTTCTATATTGTTTTCAATGAAGATATAAAATTATTACTTTCATTTTGATAAACTAATTTTCATTGTGTGATTTGATGATTGCCCCCAGACGTACTGGTATAGTGATGAAGAAAGATATGAAGAAAGATGCTGATGGCTTTGAGCTGATCAGTGAGTACTTCTCGGACACAGGTATGTATTCTGAAGATTCTAAATCTAAAAATTCATCTTCAAGATTTTTAGAAATAACTGTTCATTTTCCTGTTTGACTATAGATAAATTTAAAACAGATGCAAAATCAATGGGATCATCATTTTTCCTGTGTTTACAATTACAGAGAGTGAGGAGAGTTCAGTCCTCACTGAACCCTCCACCAAGAAGCAACCCAAACCAAAGAAGGTGAGTTTGAATGTTTTTTTTTTGTCTTGATTTTTAGCCTGGTTACCAAACCTATTATACTATAATTTATAGCTGCCGAGTCCTACAGGCTACGGTCTGCAGTTTTTTCTGGAGTCGGTCAGGAAACAAGAAACACAAAATTTGTTTTCCTAGGCCTAAGCATGCACAATCATCAGGGTTCTAGCTAGTGCAAAGTAGCGTAGGGGCCCCCTACGCTATAATTTTGACCCCCTACGCTAAATTCCCCCCCTACACTATAATTTTGCCCCCCTATGCTAATTTTTAATACAGCAAAGGGGCATTGTGACTGTATTTCTTTGTGTGAAAGAATGCCAGATCAGATGTGAAAAATCAAGGATACATTGTGCATACCTTAGAAATAACAATTTTTCCCCTTGGGTATCCCTCAAATGACCTCTTTTTAAGCTCAAATTTTTAGAAGCTCCACTTCGCTCCCTCATCATGCGGCTAGTGCCACTGCGCTAAAATTAAATCCTAGCTAGAACCCTGATCATCCATACCTCTAATGAATTTATTTTGCTATAAAGTAGTGTCTGACAATGATGTTCCGTTTTGTCTTTATAAACGTCCAGGACATCAGGCCAAGGAGGATGTCATCGTTCTCGCCCATCAGGCCAGACTCTGACCTGTCCAGGACCTCTGTCAGTCCTGATAAGAACCCTGCTCCTGTGGAGAACCCTGGACCAGCTGCTGAAGGCAGCCCTACCCCTGGTGCCAGCCCCACCCCTGGTGCCAGCCCCACTGTTGACAGTCCTACCCCTACGGCCAGTCCTCCTGTTGTTGAGAACCCCACCTCTGCTGACAGCCCTACCCCTACAAAGTCGGCTGCAAGCCCTACCCAGGAAGATGGTACAAGCGCCACACCAGAAGCAAGTATTTTTTATATATTGTTTACTACCTATTTTGTATTTATGTTTACTGAAGGAAAACATATTGTTTTTCCTCAGTTTCCTCTTCCTCTTCTTCTTCTCCCAACAGTGACCTCAATGACCTGAACCAATGTCGTGTCTGTTACCATGGTAACTAGTGTTGGGTTCAGGCTTTTAGCTAGGGGGTGTCCAGGGTGTCTTTTGGACGCCCTGTACTGAAAATAATAAGAAATTGGACGCCCTACTTTTTTGTAGGACACCCTAAAGACGCCCTATTTTTTCCACTCCCAACCCTTGCCATGCACACATACCTCCCTTCAGCCTTACTATAAATACAAAAATGATGGTTTACTGAAGGAAAAAAACTCAAATTTACACCTGAAAATGCAGAAAGTAGTGTTTGAGAGCATTATGAATTTCAAAAAAGCCCCCCTAAAATCTTGCACTCAGCAAGTCTTCACTGTGCATAGCATACAATAAAAAAATGGACACCCACCAAAAAATCCTAGCTAAAAGCCTGGTTGGGTTACATCATGTTGCAGTTTTATAGCAGGAGGGATTTAGACTCCTGTATGAATGTGTTTGAGTAGGAATTAACAGAGCAGACCAAGGTAAACATTATGCATTTGCCTTGCAAATATTACCTTTCCAGTTTCTTTTGTATTTTCTTGTTCAGATTTTTCCTTGTCATGCTTGGTAATATTTGCAAGGCATAATGTTTACCTTGGTCTGCTCTGTTAATTCCTACTCAAACACATTCATATATATGGTCAGACAGGAGTCTAAATCCCTCCTGCTATAAAACTGCAACATGATGTAACCCAACACTAGTTACCATGGTAACAGACCTAGGCCATAGTCCTGATGCATCACTCTGGATTTTTTTATTATTATTTATTTCTAACTCCTTTGTCTACCATTTCTCATGTTTAGATCCAGTCAGCGGCCAACGTGTCAGGAGGCCCTGAAGCAAGTCCTGGATTGGACGCAGAACGCAACCAATCAGCACAGGACGTGGACGTGTCAAGTATGAACTTCACGGCCGACGACTCAGGCTCCATCAGTAAGATCAGCAGCCAGGACCCGCGGACAGCTGTCAAACCAGTGGCAGCTCTAAAGAAAAGGTAATTGTTGTGTTAACAGGTGTTGTACCATTGTAACTTCAGTGGCCGAAATACTTTTTTTTCAGTACTCTGTAATATTGCAGGAGAGTCAAAATTTTGTTGTGCAATTTAGAAATACTTTCTGCAAATACACAAGCCTCCATGTTACAACCTTTCTGCAAATACACAAGCCTCCATACTACAACCTTCTCAAACCAATAATTCCTTTTTTACATCATTCATATATAGCTTTGTAAATCAGTACAGTAGCATTACTGGACTGCAGGAGAATTTCAGGTTTATAAGCATAAACTATGGATTGATATGCAAATTAGTGAAGACAATTTTTTGGAAGTCCAAAAGGAAACAAAAGTTAGACAAGTCAAGACAAGGATGATGCAAATTAGTGAAGAAGCTCCTGTTGTTTCAGAACAGTCTGTCCCTGGGGCCTGGGAGTTTTAGTTTGCTAAATTGAAAACTAATGAATCTGGAGCCTATTTTTCCTTCTGCAAAATTGCAGATTGTATAATTTTTTCTTCTGCAATCTTGAAAATCTATCTGCAGATTGCAGACTGCAGGCAGGTATTTCGAACACTGAACTTGTATCAAATAAACTATAGCAGGACTCGAAATTCATTTTTGGGAATAGGTGATATTTTTGGGTGCACCATATAACTAGAATGGCAGCATGAACTTATTATGTTTCATTTCTAAAGAAAAGTACTACAGCAACAATGATTTTATTATTTTTCCGACACTTGGATGTTAAGAATATACTGTATACTGCCATACATTTAACATCTTTATATACGTAAACTTACAGGAAAAAGTGCACATGTACCCAGTATTTCTAGCCCTGTATAGCAACCCCCCCCCCTCAAAAAGGAAGAGTAAAGAGTAGTAAACTCAAGCTTATCCAGATTTTAAATTCAGTGGTTTCATCGTTTGTGCTTGTTCAGGCTGGATCATCCTACATGTTATAGGTTGGAACTATAAGTAACATATAGGCAACTTTCATTTATCGAGCGTGGGGGAAAAGAAGAAAATACCTGTATTCATAACACATCAACAGTTGTCACTTTTTGTTACTTCTGCACGTTTGTTTTCTCTTATTATGGGTTCACCACAAAGTGGTGAAACCATATTGCTTTTTCTCATGATTCTCCTCCTTCTTCTTCTCCTCCTGCCATTTCTTTAAATGGATTCAGCTTCTTCATTTTGAGGCCTAAGGACCTGAAATTTGGTATGGAGGTACAGTAGGCAAATACCCCCAGGCGTTTTTTTAATTTTTGTGATACAGGCTTTTAGAATGGTTTTATTTGAGTTTTTTGGCTGTGTTATAGCAAATGTATTACTGAGTTAGTGTGCAGTGTTACCACATTTGGGCATGAGTCATCACAATGGAATGCAGGGCATCAACCAATAGGCATGCAGCTTTCCTCTATTCTCCTTGCTGATCGGCTGTTGGAATTTAACAGGCTTAACTTAATTAATACCTGCACAGAGCCATTCCATACTGACAGTAGGTCTGTATTCAAGTGTTTTGGTAGGTATTTTAAGCTTTCCTGCTCCAGCATTGGAATGCGGGGCATGAACGCTTCTTTTTTCTTGAAAATCAACAGTTTGCATTATGCAATTAAAAATCCTAACCAATAATGTAGGGAATAGCTATCCAACTGTTGTAGTCTTAGTTGTATGTTACTTCATACTATAGTTATATCAATGTAAAGCATTGTTTTCCCTTGTGTTTCTCATTCTTTCCCTGCCATGTCGTAAAATGTGGTGAAGCCATTGCTGTATTTGCTCCAAAGCAAATGTCGGCCTTTCTAGTTATGTTTGATTTACCTTATGTACTTGCATTTATTTTGTGAACTCTTGGTTCATTATGTACAGATTTGTTTATTTGCATTTACGATCTGCTATGAGTTCACTTATTTGTTCACCATTATTGTATATAGCCTACCTTTATTTGCGTTCATATTTTGTTTGGATTCTGTTATCTGTTCCTTTGATCGTCTTTTGTTTATGTATAACTTATTGAATCGGTGTCGTATAAGCCCACACAGGCTGGGCGCGGGATAGCGGCCGACATGTACACGGAAATATAGTATCATTCATTCATTCATTCATTCATTCATTCATTCATTCATTCATTCATTCATTCATTCGTTAGTTAGTTATGGGTGCTTTCATCCAAATGTCATGTCACTACCCTGGAAGGTTTTGGGTTGCTTCTTACCCGTGTACTCTAGTAGGTGTATTTAAATTTTGTTTTGTTTTCTCCCACACTCTTTAGACTAACGTTTGGAGGAGCATCATCTGATTCACCTGACACTACAGCCGAGAAAGAGGCATCAGTCTCTTCCCGCGAGAAAACGTCCAGCGACAAGGAAGCGACAGGAAACGCGACAGAAGCTGATGTTTCTGAAAAGCCGACCAAGCAGGCCAAACGCAAAAGTCAGAGGCAGGAGAGGGCCAAGGCAGCGAAACCATCAGAAACTACAGAGGAAGAGGAAACACTGGGCAGACGTGGAGCAAGACAACAGAAGGCAGTTGTGACTGAAGCGACAGAGAACAGCCGCAAAGACCAGAGGGGTGGGCCAGAAAGGGCAACACAGCAAGAGGAAGAAGATTCTTCAAGAGCCAGCAAGAAGCAGAAAGATCAGGACAAAACAGCCCCAAAGAAGGTGCCTGGAGTTAAGAAGCAGCCATTGGTGGTCGAGATGGTCGACTCAGATGATGAAGATGATGATGATCTTTTCTGTATGAAGAGATTTAGAGTAAATCTGACCAACAGGCAGACCACCAGTACTGAGAGCCAGGCCACTAATAAAGAGCCTAATGCAGACCAGATAAAACCCAAGAACACAAGTCAGCAGCCTGCAAAGAACGCAAAAGGAGACGGCCAAAATGATAAGACGGCTAAGAACAAGAAAAAAGGGCGACCAAGAAAGAGCGCTGGAAAGAAGAACAAGGAAGTGGACTCTGAAACCCAGCCAGAAAGTATGAATGGCTCAAAGCAGAGTGCAAAGGACTTGGAGATGAGACAAGAACAACCAGAAACTAGGCTGGACACAGTGGTGGATGATGTACAGAGGGAAGTACCAAGTGTGGAACTTGAAGTACAGCACGAGGCTGATGGTGACAGTTTCAACCACAGTGGGCTTCAGGATTCGGTGCTACCCTCAGATAGAGAAGAGGCAGAAGATGAAGAAATTCCTGTCCAGCCGTCCCCGAAGCTGCTAACCAAGACCAGGTCTCAAAAGCGAGGGACGTCGTCAGAAACGGCACAGGTTCAGAAAAAGTTCAAGCCTCAACCCAAGGAGAGGTCGAATGCCAGAGGGCGAAGGTCAGGGGGTCAGAGGTCACGGTCTAGTCAAGACAGCTCAGTAAGTGATGGGGAGGTTCAGAAGAAGAGGAGAGGGCAAGCAAGGAAAGATCTGTCCTCACAGTTCTTGGATGAAAGCAGTGAGGTCAGTATTTCTGCCATTTGATACATTTCTGTATCTTTCTCTTATCTAGTTATGAGGCCACACTGACTTGAATTGTAGGAATGACATCCTCTGAAGACCCCCAAACTACTGTGCACAGAGGAAAAAAAAATTGCAGCCAAAGGAATACTGCTAAACCACAGGAATGCAAAGCTGATATCGTGCATTTGCGGTAGTACATAGCGACTTTTACGACAAGCCGGCACATGCTGGCCTTTTGCGGCATTTATGAATCGGCACTGTGCATATGTACTGAGTTCTTGAGTTCCATGGAGCCTCAGCAGCCTGGGTGCCGTCTTCTGTCGTTACCGCCGGCTCCCTATTGTCACTAGCTACCATGGACTACGGAGGACGGCACCCAGTCAAGAGCCTCTTGAGGACGTGATCTTTTTTTTGAGAGCAGGCGAAACGGATGTCATCCATAAAATAAGTGTGGCCTAATGTAAAATTCAAGGGTACATGTATGTTGGTGGCAATTTTTTCCTAGAAGTTACAAGTGTGAAATACTGATCCTACTGCATCGTAACTCACTTCTTCCCCATCTCAAATTCTGTTTACACAGGTCCAGTTGGAAGCAAACTCAACCGCAGAAAGTCATCAAGAAAACACAGAACCTAAGAGAAGGAGGGCCAGCAAGGCCAAAGAAAGTCGCTCAGCTCCCAAGAAGCCAGGGAAGCAAAGACAGGAAGCCAGTAGTCCTGTGGAGAAGGGCCCTGACAACAGTCTAACTGCTGTGGAGGAGGATGTACCAGTGTTTGATCTGAGTTCTCAAACAGCACAAGAGAGCTCGACAAGTGATGGTGAAGTGCGTAGGAGGAAGAGAGGGCGTCCCCGGAAGGCACCCCAAACTGCCCAGTCTTCTAATGAAAGTAGAGAGGTCAGTTTTTACCACTGTCTGTTTATTTTGTTAAAGAACTGCTGAGTTACGTCAAAGTTATTTGGTATGGTGGCTGTGAAAATGTGTTCCATACCATCCACCGTGTGGTAAATTGTAATTGAATAGATAAATAAAAAGTCAGCAAATAAGGGTTAGAAATACCTTTTTTAATGTTTCCTTTTCTACCTCTTGAGTATTTTCTTTGTTGTTATCATGGCCACCTTGATGCATCTCTTGTGTTCTTTTATTTCCTAACTCTTATTTTACTATTTCACATGTTTAGATTCAGTCAGAGGCCAACGTGTCAGCAGGCCCTGAAGAAAACACAGAACCGAAGAAGAAGAGAGCCAAGAAAAATGGCAAGAGGCCGGGGAAACAAAGACAGCCAGCTAGTTCTACAGAGGACAACTCTGACAAAACACTGTCAAGTGGTGATGATCTCCCTGTATCAGGTATGCTAACTGTAGCCATCTTACTCTGCGTCACAAGAAGCATATGTGTGAGGTTGGGTGGTGTAGTGGTAGCGTCTTCAGCTTGGAACCAAGAGGTCCCGGGTTTGAACCCCACCTTGTCACCAATCTTGTGCCCTTGGGAAAGGCACTTTACACGACTTTGCTCACTTCACTCGGGTGAATTAATGAGTACCTAGCTTCAGTTAGGGACGTCCATCGGATAGGACGTTAAATGGAGGTCCCGTGTTTGGGGAGAGCCACACTCCACGTACGTTAAAGAAACCACCGAAAGAGTAAGAGACCTTCCCGGTGTGAGTGGTTCAAATCTTACAGTCCCATCTTACGCAACTTGTACCTACATGTACAAAACTGGTGTGTTATGCCTAAGGGCGGTTTACTGGTTATGCGAAACAAACAAAAGCATTGATTAAACAGTTAAAATTTTGTTGCAGATCTGAAGACAAATTAAGCAACCTGCAACTTTGCAGACTGAAATAATTAGCCTGGGTACCATCCTACTTGTATGCCGGGGCTCCCACACTCGCTTCCCTAAGAAGTAGTCTGGAAACGGTTAGATCTGAACCGTCTGAGCTCGGTCAGATTTTGCCCGAGTGTGCTGATTGGTCCCTTCTGTCTTGTTCATTAGCCTAACGTCCTTCTCAGTATGTGGTGATGCTTATCTCCTGCCTGCTCAGCAGGTATCACTGGCCAAGGAAGGGTTTGTTTATTTATCTTGGACGGAGTGTAGTAGCCATTGAGAGACACTGTTGTCATGATTTTGCTAACATTTGAAGTAACAGAGCCACAAAGAACATCTTGCTTAAAGAAAACTACAAGAAATTGTTGTACTCAAGGTAAATTTGTGGCTGCACTTGTCATACATAAGCAGCAACTTTTTTGCCCTTACCAAAACAGCACATGGCCACGTGGACTTTGTACTGATGGGTCATCTACCAGTGGAAGAGGCTCCGCCCAGCCCTCCCCATGTGGCCTACCTTATTATGTGATATCATCACCAAGCCAAATAGATACAAGCGTTTTCAGACTACTTCTTAGGGAAGCGAGTGTGGGAGCCCCGGCATACAAGTAGGATGGTACCCAGGCTATGAAATAATCAAGATAGGGGTTCAATTGTGTCTGTATGATATATTGTCTTGGAGCTTTTGTGCTTACTACTGACTTTATGAAATACTAGTTATGCTTGTGTTTTTCAAATTGTATATAAAATGTTTGCCAACATGCAGTTTTGTATGGGTCTGAGTCAGGGCTTAATAGTGTATATATGCAGAAATTATTTCCAAATTGCCGAACAATATTGTGACATTCTGCAATATTGCAGAACACTAAAAAAAATCATTTCTACCACTGTTTGAAAATGATCATGGTACTTTCGGTGTCCTTGTGATTGTACCAGGTAGCAAAACTTCACCCAAAGCAACTGAAAAGAAGACTACTGGTGGTGCATTCAAACAAATGTCTTTTATTTACTTAGTACACTAAAAGAACTTTATTCTTACTCTGTTACAGCGACACCGTTGCGTTCGATCTTGAAGGGAGGTAAGAACCACACACCACGGTCCTCGACTTCCACGCTGCCGCGGGCCTCCGTCACGTCTCCTAAACACTACGCCAACGTCACGCAGTCAAAGTCGGCTTCAAAGAAGGGCCCAGCAGATAGTGCCAGACAGGCACACATCAGTAAGTAACTTAAAGTTAAAGCGTAGAAAAAAATGTTGTTTCCTGTTTCAGTCCTGAAAAAAAAATAGGGTCGGTACGTAGGGATTATCTTTTTTCTTCTTTTTTTTTAAGACTTTGGCGATCTCTAGTGATCCAACTTATACAATAAAACTTGCATGAGGACACTTTTATTTTCGATATCAATGTTGGAAAACTGATTGTATGTAACGTTTCATCACTCAGGTGTCAGATCATGGAGCTACAAAAGGTTGATCAGCTCGAAAAATTATGTCCTTTGCTTGGGTCATCAGTTTTTCTAGGGTTGGTCGGGAAACAGGAAACACAGCATTTTTTTTCTTATGCCTAAGATTGATTTGCAGGCTTTTATTTTTCAAGGCACAGGATGCACAGGCATAAGAACTGGGATATCTCGTACAAATGTATGTGCTTTTGAACAAATCCTGGTACAGTGGCAGCCAGTTAATTGCAAAACGCTTATAAGAAAAAGTCTGCTAATTGAAAAGAATTGTGAAAACCCAAACCGTTTCCCATTGACACCATTGTTTATCGCGCCCCTTATTTGAAAAGCCAATGCCGGCTAATTGAAAAAAAAAGTCAAGTTGCAACACATTTTCAACCAAAAACATGCCAAACAAATCACCAAAATCGGCGGAAAATTTCTTATATCAAGACATCAAGCCGCCAAAAGGGACGAAGTTGTCTGTTTTGAACCACAAAGGAGGCCGAAATTTACGTTGATCGAGCGGTCGGGCGCACATCGGCACTACGTAATGAGAAGCGCGAGCCGGTTCATAGCCGCCAAATGCGGCATGCTTTTGTGTTCTTTTAGCCTGTTTATTCCAGGAACGTTTAATTTCTCATACAACTCATTTTTTAATCATCAAAACCATGTCTCTACTTGTGTACTGCGCCATTATTTTGAGTTTATTTCGACTGCGACACGGCGCTATCGCCGCATCAACATGCCAAATGTGCCGCGAAAAAACACCGCATGGAATGATGGGATACTGCTACCCACGCCGCGTCCGCCATCTTTGTTTACTTCCCTGTACGCTAATGCGAGAGATCCCCGTCAACTATCGCAAATTTCCATGTAACCTACGGACATCGTGAGCTAAAAAGTCATTAACATTGAAATGAACAGTTTATTGTTGCATTAGTTACGATAATTTTCGTGTGCTAGCCGGAGTTTCTGAAAATTAAGCGATCGAAGCGATCCTTTGTGCTATCGACTGCTTTCATGACGATCGTCTGCATTTTTGTCTGTACGCTACTTGATTGAAGTTTTCCGTTAATCAAACTTTATTTTTTGCTACTTTCGTGATGTAAAAGTACGTACAGGCTGATGATTGTGCATGTATTCATTGCTTGTTTTGTACGTAGCAAACGTAGCATTGTTTATTCGTTCGAGTAGAGCCTGCCGAAAGCACATGATGTCTAACGTATCGCGGCGTTCTTCCAGTCTTGGAAAAAACGAAAAAAATACATGTGTACGTCAACCAAAAAAATTAAAAGCAAATTTACCGATCTCAATAAAGTTCACTGTTTTTAATGCGTAAATATGACTTGTGTTTGTATTCTTTGTGTCGTTATGTGTTCGATGCCCTGTCCACCCCCCACCCCCATAGTTTCAATGAAGCCCGAGAGTTTGAGCCTCAGAGTCTCTTAATCGGAAAGGCCGGGTATTTGAAAAAAATGTGCTGACAAATTGGCTTTTCAAATAAGCGGCTTCTACTGTATATAAATAAGAATTAATGACCTATTATGATGTTAAGTAGGATTTACCATGGTCAGTATTGACCGACGGAGGCCACATATATATAATGACCTATTAAAATGTTCTTACTGTTTTTCAAATAAAACAGAATTATTTAGAAGTCAGATGCATTGTACCAGTAAAATTAAGGCTACATCATTTGTCAATTGAAATATGATGCAGTTTGTACTTGGAAAACCATAATCAACGTAAAAAATGAAATGAACTTTTTGCATGTTTTGCAGGTGCACCATGTAAAGACAAAATAACATTTAGAAATCAGATATCAGTGAAATTATCCAAAAGGCCAAATCGGTTGCTATTTGAAATATTAATTATGGAATATTTGAAATATAATTATGGAAAACCACCATCAAGGTAAATAAAATGGACTTTTTGCCTGTTTTGCAGTTGCACCGCGTAAGGACAAAACCCCAGGAGTGCGTAGATCGTGCAGGAACCGCGCCCGTCCCGTGGCGTGGTGGGCGCAGGAGCGCGTGGTGTACGAGAGGAGGGACTCTGGTAGAGTCATGGTGGACGTCAAGAGGCCAGAGGCCAAGGACTACGGAACCAGACCCAGGAAGACGCAAATAACTAAAGGGAAGAGTAGACCCAGAAAAGGTACTCACCTCTGAAATGCACTCCCTTGTTTTAGTAAAAAATCTTGTATATGACTGTCTCTTTGTTTGTTTATTTAGATCTCCATTAGTATGGAAGTCAACTCCATACTACTCTTCCTGGAGTCCGCAGCATACAATGAAATAACAATAATAATAATAATAATTGCTTTTAGCAATAATAATAAATAAAACATACAAATCATACTGAAATTATAACAAACTTGAAACAGAATCAATCATAGAGAAAAAAGTGAATTGGAGATCAGAGGTCAAATAATAGAAATAATATGTTTGAAATGAAAGTAAATGAAAGTAATAATTGATGTACTTTCCAATAAATACAAAATTAGTATTTCTGTTTTGGTACAAAAGTACCAAAACAGTAAACAAATATTTGAACTGACATAAATAATAACAAAAAATATGAATAACAAATGAATCAATATACACTCAACAAAATATGATTCCTTTCAATTAAATTATTAAATAATGACTACAAAGAAAAGATCTCACTCAATACTTAGTGGAACAAAGGCATGTGAACATAATTTAAATCATTACATACTCGCCCACAACAAAATCTTGTTACCACCACAGAGCAAGGGGTGAGCCCTTGTCACGTGATTATCCCATCAAGTCACGTGACAAGAGAACTTAAACTTTTAAGTTAAGACGAGATCATAACCGGGTTGAAGAGGAGACAGAGTGTGTCTCGAAAGCTCCCCAGTGTAGCTGAACTTTAGTTGTGTGTTTTGGTATAAATATTTGTCAAAAGTAAAAAAAAATAGCTCTTCAATGAGCTAAAACTGGATGGAGATCACATTCTTTCATTGTGTACATAGTGGATAAATATATGTTGTTTCCTTTGTCACATTCTAGAAAACTAAACGGAACATACTCGAAGATGTTACGAGTGGTTTTCAATACACCATGGTGGAAACACACTACTAATGAACAGTTATACGGTTCGCTACCAAATGTAACTTCAGTAGTCAAATGTCGACGACTAAGCTTGGCCGGTCATGTAATACGTAGTGGGCTCGTTCTCATTAAAATGTACAAAATGGTGATTTTTTGGGTCGAAAAATCGATGATCTGTTTTTTCAGGCAAACCTACCTTATTTTTTAGGAAAACATCTCAATTAATGATTACCAAAAAAGGACAGCTTAATTTCCATGGGAGTTACCGAAAATTTATGCACTTAGATATGACATATGTAAACAATGCAATTTTTAGTGCAGCAAAAACACTGGAACATCAGCATGAACTGGATGTACGATAAAGCTTGTATTCATGACATCACTTCAAAAGCCATTAGTTTAGGCGCCAGTATCGTTGAAAGTACTTCTGTCAACCCATAACTGGTAAATATACACGTATCGAACACATAAAGATAGCTAAGTGTAGTGTATAGAAGTAGCAAAAAATATCTTTGGAAGCAAAGAAGAGTAGAACATTTGAGTCTGTTGACGCCACAGAGGATTATTTTTCTTCGGATCCATATTTTTTCTACTTTATTTCCAACTATTATGTTTATGGTGCACAGGGAAGGGAAATTCAATCTCTTGCTACGTCTTTTCCGCTACAGGTGTAACTTCCGTTACCGGTAACGGATGTTACAAAACGGACGTTTTTGTTAATTTCTCCAAAAAGATCTGCAGTTTTTATCTTCATCCTTTGAGATCAAGGGGACATATGTACGGACATTTTAAAACTGGGCGACTTTTTATATACCAGGTGAAGAAACTAAAATTGAAAGTAAAAACAACGGTAACGGATGTTACATTTATTACTGTAAAACAATTTGTTCAGCGAAGTTGGCTACAAATGACAGCACACCCTCTTTTCCTCTTCTCTTAGAAACCTAGAAAACTTGCTTAAAGTCATAAAAATGGCAATTTCTTGTCTTGTATGTGACTCTATCTAAACTGCACGACCGTCTTACTTGAGCGGTAACGGATGTTACAGAACTTGGCGACAGGTATGAAACACCTCGCACAGCGTACAAAAATAGTGACAGGAGCGATCTGACTTGATCAGTCAGAGGGCCTGGCCACCCGACTTCACCAGGCAGAAAACTACTGCCGTAATCAAATTTCTACGTTTTAGGTTGCTTTTTAAAGTTTCTATTTCGCCTCAGGCGACAGCCGCTTTTTAGGGGGAGAAATCCAACCCGCGTCCATAATTTCTCTCAAGTCATCAATCAAACCTAGTTTTGTGGTACATTTTTCGTGAAACATAGTCAGTGTAGTGGGAAAGTGAAGGAATCAACGATTAGGTCCATGATTTGGCTTATACCTAGTCGTAAAGAGTGGCGACAGCATTTTGTACATTTGAATGAGAACGAGTGAGTGAAGAACCAGCCAGTAGGCTTCTACTCTGGAACCCTGATACCTGTAAGAGAAGAGTTGGACGCCCAAACATAACAGTTAAGAAACTTATTGAAACTGAAACTGGCTTGGAGGGACATGAACTTTTCTCAGTGATGTATGACAGACAGTTGTGGCGAACTAACTTTGTATGCTCCACCTCTACGGAGGATGAATGATGATGATGATGATGTTTCCTTTGTTCCCTACTAGTAGGAGCTACGAAGACACAGCAGCCCCTCCAACAGGAGTCTGTACCTGACATATCTACCCACACAGACGTACCCAGGGACTGGGAGGATGTGGAAAACCCTGTCATTCCTGTAGTCAACCCTGCTACCAAGGAGGAGGTACTCATCGGTAAGTAGTAATACATTTATGCTTTGTCTATCTAGTTATTGAGATTTAGGCCTAGGAAAAAATGTTGTTTCTTGCTTAAGTTTCAGTCCAGCTACTGAAAAAAGGAGGGTCGGTAGGTAGGGATTATCTTATAATTTTTTTCTTTCTTTTTTATATCGACTTTCGCAATCTGTAGTAATCTAACTTATACAATACAGTTCAACAAAGTAAAACTTTCGTGAGGCCTAACAAAATAAATGTTGTGTTTCCTATTACAGTCCAGAAAAAATTAGGGTCGGTAGGTAGGGATTCACTTTTT